CTAAATTAAAGGCCCGGGGTGGGCGGAGCTTCAACTAAATTAAAGGCATGGGGTGGGCGGAGCTTCAACTAAATTAAAGGCCCTGGGTGGGCGGAGCTTCAAATAAATTAAAGGCCCGGGGTGGGCGGAGCTTCAAATAAATTAAAGGCCAGGGGTGGGCGGGGCTTCAATTAAATCAGAACAACAACTGGAGGGAATTAATATGAGGCGTTATCATTTTGGTAAGTGTGGGTATGAGACAAAAAAACAAACAAATCCATTAATTGTTCTTTTTTACGGGATAGAGCTTGAATAATCAAAGAGATCTAGTCAAGTTTATTGTCATTCAACATGTTAAAAACACCTGACAATAAATTGCCTACAAACCTTCAATAAATAAGCTTCGTTCCACAGTCTAAAATCACTTTATTAAAACATGTGTTTTATTGCTCTTGTGTTTTAATCACAAGTGCAGAGAACAACTTCAAACCCAGAGTTCCTGAGCCTCACAGCCTCAGGGTGGAAGCTGCTCCTGAAAGGTTGAATGAACCGAGTAACCTGAGCCTTCAGGCTGCAGCCTCCCACCTGTGTGTGGGGGTGGGGGGTGGGGGGAAGTTTGTGGACCCTCATGATGTTCCCTGTCCTGGTCCTGCAGCTGATGATGTAAAAGGAATCTGCTTCTTGTCAGACCCAGAGCAGTTATGCCAAAGGTCATTAACACCAAGACTGTCTGGACTGGTTAAGAAATAAGGAAGTTATGGCAATTTTACACAACAAAAATGAACCTTTTTTGTTTGTTTGTTTTACCCTTAAAAACAAAAAGAAACTTGTGATTGACCTGCAACAAACATCAAATTCAGAGCTTCCTTATTTCTTGAGATGATGAGATGAAATTTCAGGACAATTAGGAAAATGACTTGTCCTTAACATTAAACTTAATCAACAATTGTAAACCATTTTCATTCAACCTTTATTTCTACAGGTTAATCCAAAAAGTGTTCAATACAAAAACAACTGGACTTTATTTGTAACAGAAGACGTTTCGCTCCTCATCCGAGGAGCTTCCTCAATTCAAAGAGCAGAGAGTGAGAGGTTCAGGTTCAGAGGCTGAGTGAGATAAGACACACACACATGTGTAGATTTGACAAGTCACACCTAAACACCTTAACAGTAGGTCTTTCTTAAAGTCTTTGTTTCTCTAATTCACAGACGAGGCCCCTCTGTTCCCATCAGGTGTGAAACTGGCTGGGGATCTGTTTTAAAGTTGCATTATAGGTTTTTGAAAGTGGAAATCTGAGGCCTCCTCCTCTGTTAAGAGACGGCTTTTCTCTTTTTACATAAATTGCTTCCTTCACCCCCCTCTCAAACCATCTGTGTTCTCGGTCCAAAATGTGCACATTCTGGTCCTCAAAGAGTGTCCCTTATCTGTGAGGTGGAGGTGAGACTCAGATGAATTCATCATGTCCTGGATGACTGAGAATCTTCACCAGCCTACAGGTTAATCCCACTGAGCCTCAAAGACTCATTTACAGGAGAGACCTGTTTGGGGAGCAGATGGGGGTTGAGGGCCTTGCTCGGGGGCCCAGGGTGGGGCGAATGAGGGTGAAGGGAGGTGTGGGTGTTTCACCTTTTCCACCCACATTTTTGATGTTGACGGTACCGGGAGGTGAACCTGCGACTTTCTGATCACAAGCCCATCTTCTAGCCTCTGCGCCACCACTCCCCCATCCTCCTGTGTTTAGGGGTGGGGGTGTAGGTGAGTTTGTTCCTTCTGAAGTCCACGATCATCTCGTTTGTCTTCTTCACATTGATACGAAGGTTATTTTCCACCTCCTGCCTGTAGCTGGATTCATCATTGTTTGTGCTGCACCCCCCAAATAAGGCGTAAAGTGAAAGTGAGTATATTTTACTCCTTGTAATGTTTCTAGAATTCATACATTTGCTAAATAAATTACATGAAAACTGCTAAAACGAGCCCTTTAGTTGTTATAACAACCAGTAAAACTCAGTTTTATGTCAGTTTTGGTCAAAGCTTGAAAGAGGGACCAAAGAGCCACGTGTGGCTCCAGAGCCGCAGGTTGCAGACCCTTGCCATATGGTATAAAACTATCGTGCAAACAAAATAGGTACTAATAGTTTAAGTAGATTAAAAAAGATTAATCAGGGCTCCAATTTTTTTGCAATTTGCCACTATTTTGAATCCACCATGACAGAGAATGATCAAGGATCTGGACTCTCAAAAACAATGTTCTCAACATCAGTCAGTCAGTATTTAGATAAAATGTTATATTTTACTGCTGTCTACCCTTGAGTGGGTGCTGTACGCCAGAATGTGCCTTTTAGGCTTGTTAAACTAGAGTAATTGTTTTTTCTATCCTTAACATGTGTTGTTGGTTTGTTTTTGTCTTTCAGGTACACCTGGACCTATATCTGGACCTGGACCTATATCTGGACCTGGACCTATATCTGGACCTGGACCTATATCTAGACCTGGACCTATATCTGGACCTGGACCTATGTCTGGACCTGGACCTATACTTGGACCTATATCTGGACCTGGACCTATACTTGGACCTATGTCTGGACCTGGACCTAAACCTGGCTCTGGACCTAAACCTGGACTTATATCTGGCTCTGGACCTAGACCTGGACCTATACCTGGACCTACCATTCTGTGTTCGTCTGTCTCTCCTTCCTGTCCTCTCAACCAGCCGGTCAAAGCAGATGGTCTCTTGTCCTGAGCTGGTTCTGCTGGAGGTTTCTTCCTGTTAAAGGGAGTTTTTCTTTCCACTGTCTCCACTGTGCTTGCTCAGGATGGGAGACTGCATCGAAGCCAAGATTCAACTTGTCTGCTGGATTCCTTAGATAGAGAACTTTACTAACTGGCTTTTATGTGAATGTTCCTGTAAAGTGCCCTGAGACAACTTGGTTGTGATTTGGTGCTTTAGAAATAAACTGAATTGAATTGAATTGAGTGAGGGAAGAATGGAGCGTGAGATTGACAGACGGGTTGGTGCAGCATCTGCAGTATCGTGGACTCTGTACCGGTCCGTTGTGGTGAAGAGGAGCTGAGCTGTAAGACAAAGATCTCTGTTTACTGGTCGGTCTACGTTCCTCCCCTCACCTCTGGTCATGAACTCTGGTAGAGACTGAAAGAATGAGATCGTGGATCCAGGAGGTTGAAATGAGTTTCCTCTGCAGAGCTGGACTCTCCCTTAGAGACAGGGGGAGAAGTTCAGTTATCAGGAGAGACTCAGAGTAGAACCGCTGCTCCTCCACATCCAGAGGAGCCAGTTGAGGTGGTTCAGGCATCTGGTCAGGATGCTCCCTGGGTGCCTCAGTGTTTCAGGCATGTCTGATTGGGAGGAGACCCGGGGAAGACCCAGGACACGCTGGAGAGACTAGTCTCTCGGTTGGTCTGGGAACACCTTGGAGTCCTCCCAGAAGAGCTGGAAGAGGCTGTGGAGAGAGATGTCTGGACCTCCCTGCTCAAGATGCTGCCCCTGAGACCTGAGTCCAGAACAGGAGGAAGATGATGGATGGATGGACGGATGGATGGATGGATGGATGGAAGAATTACTTCAAGTGTTTGATGAAATTAAACAGATTTAACTCCATCAGATGATGCCAAAATTTTAAGCAAATAGGTTGTACAGTGTGTTGTGCATAAATTATGTGTTGAGGATTGTGCTCAGCTACTACCACATCAAATTTTAGTTTTTTTTTCTGTAAAACTGACTGAGTTGTGGCCATTTTTGTGTTAGCTAAGACTGCTTTTCTGCAGGAGCCATCTTGACTCGTGTCAGCTTCTAAAGTTAATTCCTTGTAGATGAGCATCCTGTGAGTATTTTCTTAGAGTTTCATTAAAATCAACACATCAGATGTCAGTAACATATCAAATGTTTGGGTGAGCAGAAGCAGCTTGGTGAATGGACTGTACTTATTTAGTGTCTTTCTGTCTAGTCAGGATACTCAGAGTGCTTTACAAAACCGTCTGTGCCCTCATTTACCTTCACACAGCACTCTACTACTTCTCTACAAAGATCATCTGAATCTGTAGAGACTAACCAGAGCTTTGGAACACATTCATATACTCGGCCAACCACAGCTGCCCTGGTAGGAGGCTTGGAGCTGAGCGAGGATCAGCCTCTGCTTCCCGTGCGAGGTCGGGGAGGATGTCGCCTGATCTGTGGTCCGATGTGACAGCAACATTGTTCAGACGCAGGTTTTGATGCAGACTGTGGCTTCAGGATGGGATGCTGAATAATCAACACTGAAAACCTAACAGGACGTGTTCTGCTGAGGAAACCAAAGACACGTTACGCCTAAAAATCAGCAAATATCCAGCTGTGCCATCAGCTCAGACCTGACAGAAACACACACCTTGTGTCTGCCTCAGAAACATCAGATGTCAGGACAAGACCCCTGAGCCTGCTTTTTCATAGATTTACACTTTATCCATCAGCTGGATTGATGCACGATTTGTTGCATTGGTTTTTAAATATTTTACAACTTGAAACTAATTGCTTATGTCCCCCATCACTGAGGGATTTAAAAAGTAAAGGTTTGTAGTTTTGGAGATGAGTGTTTTTCCAGAGGGCAGCACGGTGGCACAACTGGTAGAGCTGCTGCCTCTCAGCAAGCAGGTCCCTGGTTCAAATCCTGGTGCGGGGGCCTTTCTGGGTGGAGTTTGCATGTTCTCTCCGTGCTGCGTGGGTTTTCTCCAGGTACTCCGGTTTCCTCCCACAGACCAAAAACATGCATGTTAGGCTGATTGGTAACTCTAAACTGTCCCTAGGTGTGAGTGAGAGAGTGAATGGTTGTTTGTCTCTATGTGTCCCTGTGATGGACTGGAGACCTGTCCAGGGTGTCCCCCAGCTCTCGCACAGTGATGGATATAGGCACCAGTGACCCCCCCCCCCCCCCCAAACCAAAAAGAGAAATGGTAAATGGACTGTACTTATACAGCTCCTTTCTATCTTATTAAAATACTCAAAGCTCTTTACAATGACCTGTGCCTCATTCACTCATTCATACAGCTCTATACTAGATCTTTAGAAAGACTAACATTCATACACTGATGGGACACACATGAGAGACAATGAGGGGTTCAGTGTCTTGCCCAGGGACACTTCAGCATGTGACTGCTGGTGGAATCAAACCCCCAACTCTCGCATTGGAGGACGACTGCTCTAACCACTCAGCCACTGCCGCCCCAAGAAGCAGTTGAAGATGATAGATGGATGGATGGATGGATGGATGGATGGATGGATGGACGGATGGACGGACGGACGGATGGACGGACGGATGGACTGATGGATGGAGTTGAACTTGGTGTTAGATGTCCTCCTAACAGGGACATGAATGTGATGACCACTGGCACATTTCTCCATGTCTGGTTAATCATACACCTGACCATAGTCCTTCAAGCCCCCTCGGCTGCTTATCTCAGATCAGTTTGAAGAGTCCACAGGTTTAACCTCCAGACCCCCCCAAACCCCCCCAGCAGCTTCTCTGGAAGAACTGAGATCGTCCACGTTTAGTAAACTGATGAGCGTGGTTCTAATTTATTCCTGTGAAAGTTTCTGCCTGAAACCTGCCATAGGTGTCAGCTGGTCCAGAAGGCAGAGCCGGTCTTTGTCCAGGAGAGGTCCCTCTTTCCTCTGTCCAGACAAGCTGAGCAAAGGACAAGAACAAGTTCTCTGAACAGGAGTCAGATGTGTTTAAATGTTGTACCCCAAAAGAAGCTGGTGACAAAAAACGAACTCAGGGATTCATCCGGTGGTCGGAGTTTTGATGGATGTTCAAAACTCTTTAGTTTCAGTAACTTTGGTGTCCATTTTAAACTGATTAAAAGTGTAGAGGAGAATGCACTGAAGCAGTTCTTTCTGTTCCGTTTGTTGTTTCCACCAGTTCTTCATCCTACTGCCACAGGTTTAGGTGAACTTTATTAAAACTTCATCACAGGAAGTTGGCCCGTATGGGACCCACGTGGCATTTAGAATTCTCTAACAACTTGGACAATCACATTTTTCATGATTTTTGAAGATTGTATACGTTCAACTTGTCATGCTAACTTTTGAGCTGTCTAAACTTTAAAAATATTTTGCAAACACTTGTTCTACGCCTCCTCTTCACTCCTTTTACAGTTTATACATCAAAACGTTGGTATGTCTTCATGCACGTGGTGATTTGGAGTTTTCATCTCCACAGAATGCAAAGAATGAACAGCCAGGCTTCCATACACTTCCATCGTACCTGGGCTCAGAAAGAAAGGCTCGTTTTAACCCATCACATGTCCGACATGAAGACGGACAAAAGTCAGACACTTCTACAACTTCATCCTCAGGAGCACAACTGGAACTTTTTCAGGTGACACTTGGATGTTTAATTTCTACGCTGCCTTTATTTTTAGACAACTGTCAGGGAGTGACAGACAGAGGTGAGAGGTAACCACGGTGACAACAGTAATGAGCCACTGGCATCAGCTTTACCTTGTTTTGTCGTCTGTTGTGGAACACCCTCTGACCATCTGTCTGTGCATGTTGTGAGCATGATGATTAGAAAAATAGCCGAGGTCCCAACTTCCATTTAGGTGTGTGACTACATCTGGAAAAATAATCAACAATTAGGTTGGCATGTCAAAATCCAAGATGGCCACCACTATATGCAAATATATGTAAATCAACCATCCCCAGAACACCCCTTAGAGACAGGGTGAGAAGTTCAGTTATCCAGTAGGGACTCGGAATAGAACCGCTGCTCCTCCACATCCAGAGGAGTCAGTTGAGACATCTGGTAAGGATGCCCCTGGGTGCTTCCCTAGGGAGGTGCTTTGAGCATATCTGACTGGGAGGAGACCCGGGGAAGACCCAGGACACGCTGGAGAGACTAGTCTCTTGGTTGGTCTGGGAACACCTTGGAGTCCTCCCAGAAGAGCTGGAAGAGGCTGTGGAGAGAGATGTCTGGACCTCCCTGCTCAAGATGCTGCCCCTGAGACCTGAGTCCAGAACAAGAAGAAGAGGATGAATGGATGGATGGATGGATGGTTTGTTGGATGGAGGATGATGGGGGTTGGTTGGAAGACTGGTTGGTTGGTTGTATGGATGGATGGATGGATGGCTAGATGGGGGTTGGTTGAATGGTTGGTTGGTTGGTTGGTTGGTTGGTTGGACAGTTGGAAGACTGGATGGATGGATGGATGGATGGATGGATGGATGGATGGATGGATGG